TCCTGGTTCTTTGCATGCTGCCATGCTCATCTTGATCCTACCTTGTAGCTTATCCAACCATCTTACCAATCCATGTTGGGGCACATACGATCCGAGGTGATGGAAAGATTCAAGGAAATGTTTAGTAGTGCACTGAGCGCGGGGAAAGACTTTGCAGTGGCTACTTCTGAGTGCAGCGAGTCGTGTTTGGTACAATTTGATGATAAATGCAAAGGTACATATTTTGAAGGCCAATGAAAAGTAATTTTCTTAACATGTGAACTATGAAGGTATTGTTATCCATTATCACATGAAAAGTATAATGCCAAAGTAATTTTCTTAATATGTGAACTATGAAGGCATTCTTATCAGTTATCGCATAAAAAGTATAATGCCAATTTATAGTTGGTAAATTGTTGCACCTAAAGTATTACGATGGCTAGTCTCCAAAGCAAATAACCTACTGTTCTACAGATGCTGCCATTGACCAAGCTAACTGGGACTCGTCTAAAATAAAAGATAAGTTCAAGCGTGATGTTGATGCCCATATTGTTGCAGTCCGTGCTTCCAAGCTGGATGAACTTACAACCCTTAACGAGGTAAATTGGCATGACACTGAGTAATATATTTGAAGAAAGGGACGGGGCATAAATGTAATGATCATTTGGAACCTGTGATTAGATTTGGCCATTTGGGGGGCGATTTTGTTAGTCCCACATAGAACTATTGCAGCTGGTCTGGCACAAGAAGGAATTATGAAAAAATCAAACTTAAACTCTTTCAAATTTAATAGAATTTTATCAATCCAAGACCTGAAAGATGCATTTACTATCAATAAGAGACCTGAAAGATAAAGTGTGTTAATATAGGGCCTGAATGATTGAAAACTATCAATCTAGGACCTAACTGTAACACTTGAGATTAATTTAAAAGGATTGATAGTACTACTCATACCAACAGAGGTGTATCTCCTTTTAAGGGAGCTCATCACCCAAGAACTCCAAAGTTAAGCGTGCTTGCACGAGATTAGTCTTGGGATGGGTGACCCCCTAGGAAGTTTCTCAGGGCGCGCATGAGTGAGGACAAAGTGCTCGGTAAAGGCTTATGATGGTTTGTGAGGACAGTACTAGAGGTCTTGAGTAACTACCTCAGACCCTACGGAGGCCGGGGTGTTACACTAACATATCATACATTTTGTTTACTTAATTTTTTTTAATTACATTGTTAACTTTTGATGCTTTTTATTCACAAAAGTTTATTTGTTTAATAAGATTAACTAATATTTGAATTTTTTAAAATACAAAAAATATTAAAATTCATGAAATTTTAGGTCTTAGATTGATAGTTTTTTATTATTCGGGCCCTATATCGTTAATATACTGGAGGGTCTGTAGTACTTGTTTAGTGGGGGTCCTGGAGTACTTGTGTATTAGAAGGGCTGTTAACCAATTGGGTTATAAGACCTTGGTTTGACTGGCGAATTGAGAACCCAACCTATTTATGAATTAGATCAGGTTTATGATTAAAATGTTTTCATCAAATCATACAGAAAAAACTGAATGAGGCGTTGTCTGGACCAGTTGAGTCTCTGTTGGATGGAGCTAGTGATGATACATGGCCAGCAATAAGAAAACTACTAAGACGTGAAACAGATGCAACAATCCATGGCTTTTCTTCTGCACTTTCTGGTTTTAAGATGGATGAAGAGACCCATAGTGATATACTTTCAAGGTTGAAAGATTATGCTAGAGAAGTGGTGGAAACAAAGGCTAGGGAAGAAGCTGGAAGGGTTTTGATGCGCATGAAGGAGAGGTTTTCAACAATATTTAGCCATGACACAGATTCAATCCCAAGAGTTTGGACAGGAAAGGAAGACATCAGAGCCATTACCAAAACTGCTCGTTTATCTGTAAGACAATAATGCTTACCTGAGTATTCCTAACCTGATTCCTTTTAAATAGGAGTATTTCAATTAAGTCTCTTTCATTAATGTCTCAGTCTCTGAAGATACTCTCAGTCATGGCTGCAATCCGGTTGGATGATGAAGCTGATAATATTTCAAAAATCCTGACCCTTGATTTATTGGATGGTAAACCAGGGGTGGCTGCTAACAAAAGTATCACATCACTTGACCCTCTGGCCTCAAGCACTTGGGACTATGTAATTGCATTAATAGGTTAATTTTTAATCTGAGGTATTAGATCATTTTTAATCTATAAACTAGTTTTATTATAATCTTTATAACAGGTTGATCCATCAAAAACATTGATCACGCCTGTTCAGTGCAAGACTTTGTGGAGGCAATTTAAAACTGAGACAGAATACACTGTCACCCAAGCCATATCTGCTCAGGCATGGCTTATCAAATTTTTATTTCTTCTTCTAGCAGGCGTAATTACGCTTGTTGGTAGCATTATCTGTTTGGGTATGTATTAGATTCTGTCCATACTTAGAAGTTTGTTGGTTGCCTTTTTTCTCAACACTCAGGAGACAAGCAAGAGAAACAACAACTGGTTGCCGCCTCCATGGGCAATTCTTGCCTTAATTATCTTGGGATTCAATGAATTTATGACGCTTTTAAGGTGCTTTTATGTTGCTCAAACTTCTTTCTTGTTTCCCTTTTTATTGTGGATCCATATATGACCCGTCTTGGTTTTGCCTTGTTTTTGTTTCCAGAAATCCTTTGTACTTGGCTTTTATATTTGTTGCTTTTCTTCTTTTAAAAGCACTATGGGTGCAACTAGACATCGCGGGTGAATTCCGAAATGGAGCTGTAAGTTTTAGTCTTAGAATTCCTTACTATTGTCTAATGTAACTGCAATTTTAAAAAAAGTCCAATCCCTTCTCATTTCATTTGAACTAATTGGGTGTCAAACTCTAGAAAAAAGAACAGAAAAAGAAAATTGTGTAGCTCCATATGTCTTAAAAACTTCTTCAATGAATCAATTTACCCCTTCTATACAAAATCTATGAATCATGTGAGCTGGTAATATTTTCATGAGGTGTTTTATGCTTATACAGCTTCCTGGTATTATTTCTATATCAACAAAGATCATTCCTACGGTCATGGACATGGTTAAACGGCTAGTGGAGGAAGGACAAGGGCGGGAAAGAAGTAATTATCCCCAACCCAATTCGACCTTACCTTTCAAGAGCTTCAGGAATGGAATTGATGATCTCGGTGGAGACACATCATCAAGCAGTTCTTCATCTGAGGTGTGTTCTTCAGAAACCAATTCTAACTTCTCCAGTCCCAGGGGGGATAAGAAGTTCCAATAAGTCATGTTTTGGCAGCACAGTTTTTGTTTTGACCTCCAATAATCCTAGCATGCCAATTCAAGTAGATCTATTCATTCATTCTTTTTTGTCAAGGTGGTTTTTTTACTGCTATGGGGTTGTAATATGCTAGTAGCCCTCCCAGTGTTTGGTTTTCTTGTTGGCCTTTTTATTTTGAATTCAGTGATCTTGCCTTCCATTTTTTGTCTTTCGAGGGGCATAATAAGATCATGCCGTTCTTCAGAGGAAAGTTATGTATATTTGTTTTTACTTTTTTCAATTTTGTATAACGAACATGTCAAAAGGGAAGCATGTAGTATATTGAACATGTCAAAAATTGGTGTTTTGACTAATAAATAAACAAATTCTCAATAGACAAATGTTCTAACAATGCTGATTATATTATTTTAATTAATAATGAAATAATAGCTCAAAACACCACCAAGGCATGATTTTTTATGGATATTTAGTGCCAAAGTGTTATTGAAACCCTACTGCTTCAGTATTTCTTTACATGTTAAATCTTACACGCGAAGTGATTGAACGCAAATCATATGGAAGCAATCATTTTACATGTAAAATAGATTACATTGTTTGGCTTTATATGTAATTTATTTTTAAATTGCACGCAAAGTCGTTGCAGTGTTTCATAAAAGGATGCAAAGTATTTTACCACCCCCACGTAAAATACTTTACATGGTACAGTGAGAAATGTTTTAAAAAAGTGTCATCCAGTTTACATTAAATAATCAAACCAAACAATGTAAACATTTTACGTCCTTACACTTCGCATGCAAAGTAATTATTTTACATCCTACCAAACACCCCCTTAGTACAAAACTAATTATTATTTAATTTATTACAATTTCTATTATTGATAATTGAATGATATTTGACTATAATTGAAAGACATCATTTTTTTAATCATCAAATCCAACAAATATTATTAATCCAAAAAGTCATTAGTCATTTGGCTAGAAATACAACCCGATGGACTCGGGCCGGGCCAACCGGCCCGGAACCGGACCGGCCCGCTACTGTGCGGGCCCGGACCGGCCCGGTCAACCGGTTCGGTTCCGGTTCGGGCCTCCAGGCCCGGTGGTATACCGGTCCGGGCCCGGGCCTCCAGTTTAGTGAACCGGCCCGGCCGGGCCGGGCCCGGTTCGGGCCGGAATTTAATTTTTTTTTTTTTTTTTTTTTGAAATTTTTTTAAGTTTTGGGTTGGATTAGGTATTTTGGGCCATTTGAGGTGGTTTGGGGTGGTTTGGGGTGGAGGGGGAGGGGTAGGGGGTTAAATAAGAGAAGAAGAAGAAAAAAAAAAAAAACATTCCGGGTGGCCCGGCCCGGCCCGGCCCGGTTCTGGCCCGGAACCGGAACCGGAACCGCCCACTACCGGTTCGGGCCCGGGCCTCCTTTTTCTGAACCGAGGCCCGGCCGGGCCCAGGCCCGAACCGGGCCCGAACCGGAACCGGTCCACCCCTAGACATAACATCATAGCTACTATGCTGATCTGGGAGATTCACGTGTGCTATTGCAAGTGTATGAGCAACACGATTCGCATACCGTTTACAAAAAAAGACAACAAAATTACTCTTAGTTTCTAACACTCCCCTAATGTCATCAATAATGATATGAAAATAAGATGGCCCTCCCTCCGTTATGGATGCCCTTCACGACCGTCATGGCATCAGTCTCAAACTCTACTCTATTCCATCCTCGATTGCCCCAGCTATCGCTTCCTTCAAACGTACTGCTTCAGTCTCAGCTACTGACCATACTAGCTTGAACTTTTCTTGGGATTGATTGGGTAGAGAATAGAGATACTCCTCCCCTATCCTAGAATTCCCGCCATACAACCAAATTCAAGAGAGAAGCTCTTTGAAAAAAAAAAGGTTCTCCACAAAGTTCTAGCTTGAAAGGAAAGAAATCCAACAAGAAATAGTTTGGATTAAAGGAGTCGAAATCACCGGAAACCGTCGTTCAAAAGGCTGCCCGAATTTTTGCAGGCGAACACCGCCCGCCTTTCACGAAAGTCGGCCGGCTTTTGTCCTGCAGTCCAGGTTTTACTTTCGGTCAGTTTAGAACGGGGATTGATCGAAGGGTTTAACAAAGGCAACTATTACAGCACTTTTAATAAGGTGAGGATGGTTGAATATATTGCTTATAATTAGTGAGTTAATTTCATAAGATTACCTAAGGTAATTAAATGTGTTTTCCATGGATTGTAAAATGATTAATAATGCCTATATGAAAAGAATGATATATGAGTAAGTAAAGCATAATATACAAATTTATGAAGTAGATTGTGTATGATTATGTGATATGAGTATAAAGGCATGATAGTTGAGTTAACTATGAACATTGAAATAAAATATACTTTTACTTCATGTAAAGAATTCATGAATGGATAAAAGTGATATTATTGGTATTGTGATTAAATTGTACTTGGATTAGTAAATCAATTGGGATGAGCCATACGACTATGAATTAAGGACTTGGTTGTTCTAAAATTATTCGATTAGTATTGAAGTACTAATCGGGATGTTAATGCGATTTATTATAGAATTAATCCTAAAGAATTTGATTATGGAAAGCTATGCCTTAAATAGTCGTAAGAGATACTTTAGGGTGAGATCATATGAGCTCTACATTATATTAGGAGTATGCCTCAAGGGCTACTACAACCAAGGTGGTGCTAGGCATAGAATTTGCTTAGGAACTTAATAACGCGACTAGAGGAAGCATCTAGCAAGACGTAGAATGACTAGATGAAGCATCTAGCACAACATAGAATGACTAGATGAAGCATCTAGCATAATATAGAATGACTAGATGAAACATCTAGCATAATAGCATGACATAGAATCACTAGGTGAACCATCTAGCATAACATAGAATGACTAAATGAAGCATCTAGCATGACGTAGAATGACTAAATGAAGCATCTAGCATAACATAGAATGACTAGATGAAACATCTAGCATGACGTAAAATGACTAGATGATGCATCTAGCATAACATAGAATGACTAGATGAAGCATCTAGCATGACGTAGGGTGACTAGATGACGCATCTAGCACCCCGAATTAACGTGTAGGGAGCCCTTCACTCTTTTACTTGCTATTTTCGGTAATTTGGATTAGAACGCCACTTTGGTTACTTGATATATCTCGGTTCGGCCCAAATGACTTTTATTCATTTATTTCTATTATTAGTAAGTGGGCTCGAATGATCTCTCATATCATTTATTTGACTACTATTCGGCCCTAACAATTGCATATTACTTACTTCTTTATCCTTGGGCTTTTTATTTAATTTATCTTGGTCCAAGAATATATCTTAGTTAGTCCCTCCCCATGTTTGGGGTCCGACCCACAATTTAATTATTCAGTATTAATTTAATCAATTAATCATTTCTAGTATGATTAATATACTTGTAACTAGTTTTCAAAGTCAGTATACATTCATGACTTTAACTAATTATCCTCATCAAAATTAGTATTTGTACTTTCACTTAGATTTTAATATTAGATTTTAATTTTAATATCATTTTGCATTTCACACTTTATGCTGTGTCAAAATTATGGATATGGATCTATTATCGTGGAACTGGTTTTCATAATGACCATTATATTTTTTAATTAAGTGATTGAATATGTGAAGCAAGAGTGATAGTAGGAGGTGTGAAAAAACAGTTCAAGATAGGGAACCTATTTATAGCTAGATAACTATAATATCTTTGATTCACCCAGTATAATATCTTTGATTCATTTAGGGCTTACACACCCCGTATAATGCTTTACTCGTGTAGGGCTTACACACCCCATATAATGTTTTACTCGTGTAGGACTTACACACAGGGGCGGACCTATTATATGTCAAAGGTGTTCATGTGAACACCCAAATTTTATAACTAGTAGTGTAAAAATACATGTATATGGATGCTATTGTAAAATTTTCTATATATATATATGAACACCCAAATTTTATAAAAATAAATTTGAACCTTCAAAACTAACATCCAAGATCCGCCACTGCTTACACACCCCGCATAATACTTTATTCATGTAGGGCTTACACACCTCGTATAATACTTTATTCATTTAGGGCTTACACACCCCGCATAATATCCTTTATTCATTTAGAGCTTACCACCCCGTATACGTTTTATTCGTTTAGAACTTACACGCCCCATATAATCTTAGTTCGTGTAGGGATTACACACCCCTAATATATCTCCCAACGTTCACATCTTTATTTGATCGTGGCCTCGACCACCTCAATACTTGTTGTATTCGAGTAATCATAATCTATCAACCTCGGGCTAGTCTTCATCAAGACTCCCCAAGCTGCCTTCATATAGTCTAGGTAGACTCCACCATTCTCTTTGAGTGTGACTGTAGTCCATCACTCATTCTAAGTTCATGCCTATCATATTCAATACCATAGATAGCAAACACAATTAATCGGATTCATATCACTTTGATCATGTCAATAACTCAAGGATTCCTTATTTCACATTTAATCACTTTACCTATCCACATAGGTATCCATATATCCTTTTTAAGATCATATGGAATCACAATTCATCAACATTTGTCTATATCATTCTAATCCTCAATATGTCACGCCCCGGACCTCCCCGGACACGTCAACAACCCGCCGTACAATACGAATAGTCAACCGCAGTCCAACACATTCATATTATACAAGGCGTCTCGAATATCATTCACACGTAAGCCATCCATAAACAAACATAATAAGTAATTCATAATGCAGCGGAAAACATTGTTTAAAACAAAAGGCCACACCGGGCTATTCATGAGCACGCAGGCTCCATAGTAAAATATCCATGAGCATGTTTATTAATGTTTAAAATCCGAATGGAGGAAGCACGAACCAAGTCTTCGCTCCTAGATGATCTCTCGAGCAACGAGCACAGGAAGCAAGCTCTAGCCTCAACCTGAAAAATGGTGGTGGGACGCCCCCGAAGGGGTCAGCACTCTATAGGGCTATAAAGTGCTGGTGTGGATGACATCTAATAGATATACAACAAGTATTTCAAACACAAGACCCTCAAATAGGGTGATAGTATAATCTAGGCCGTAACCCCAAGTTACCCCTTTTTAAAAATATACTTACTTTATATATAAAGTCAAGTAGTCGGCCCGTAGGCCCAAGGTTTGTTTATCAAACATACCCCAAAATCCCGTGACCCCTAGTCACAACAATACATAGGGTTCAACCCTAACACACATGTTTGCATTCTCGAGTCCAACTCGACTACATCACCATGCACCCTTATTAACATAAGCTAACTACTCCACCGTGCATTTCTCGAGTCCAACTCGACTACATCAC